ATTGAAATTTAAATTTTAATACAAATTAAAGTTAATAATTAATTTAATAATGTATTTAATAAAATCCTTATCTTTTTAACTTTTATCAAAATATAGTAAAAATCTAATTTTAACCTCTACCAAATATGGGCAAAATCAAAATAAATTCTAATTTTTTCTCTTCTCTCACTCTACAAGACCTCACACCTTTGATCAAAACCTTAACCCTTCTAATTTTTTAAAATTTGTCTAAATTTTATTTTATTTTATTTTTACAAATTTGCACTCTTCAGTAAATTTTCAAATAATTAGAATCTAAATTTACGTTTTCTCCTATTCTATTTGTGTACATAAAATGTGTCTGAACTGATTATATCCAATTTAATTTATATTTAATGAATTGTATTTATTTGATTGAATATTGATTATATTTTTTTCATTTCGATCACTTGAATTGATTATTTGTATTAAATACACTATAAATTTTTTAAACATAAATATGCATTTTTTTTTGTGATGAACAAAATATTAATAAGATGATTGTTCGAAATCAAACGGCTGAAAATGTTGAGCAAAATATTAATGAAGAAATGTCTTTTAAATCTAAATCTGCATTTTTGCAGATCAAGTATAAATCATTCAAAAATCAAAAACAAAGTATTCGATTTTTACAGTTTGATTATGCCCCATAACTAAAAATTCCTATGTCCGCCCCCATGTTATATACAAATTTTCAGCTTCTCTGAACATCTCCCCCAACAAACCAAAGAGCAGTAACTTCAATACCAACGGAAATTGCAGGCAACCTCCATATTAAATCCTGGAAAACGAAAAAACTGTCATAACAGTTATCCAAAAAAAGACTTGAATGATGGCTCGCACCTTGTTTCATTTAGCAATTAGGCCCAGCTTTTTTGTTGCTGATCACATCTATCCGTTGAGTATGCTGGACTATATAATTACACTTGTATAGCTAACGTATACAAGTCAGACCAAACACTCGGACTTGGTGAGATTCTGAGATTCTTCTTTTGGACCCATTGGATACAAAATCAGATGCTTCCAAGAGCTGGATGAAACAGAAAATGGCACCACCGTTGCAGCACCAACTAATATTTTATCAAGGCCGGTAGTGAAGCATAGAGCTCAGCTAAACACTGGAAAATCCACTTCAGCAACTGTTCTCTCGGTAGCTCCAGAAGTAGTTCAGCCTAAAAAACTCGCAGAATAATATGGTAAAATATCTTTCAAGCAAATTACACAACTATGAGACTAGAGGGAGTAACTTCATAGAAAATGGTCAGTGAGTTGTGAATCCCATATTAGGGTCTAGACAAAAAAATTGTCACCAACTTGAACTATCCAGAGACTCTACATTCTCAGATAGTATATGTCAAAACAACCAGATTAAAAGAGCAGGTTGTATACTTAATAAATGATCTTAGAGAAATAATGTAGAATATCCTGGAGGGTTCCACCTATGAGAAATGTCTATCATACCTTGATTAAGCCATCCTCAAAAACCAGAGAATTTCGATGCATATCAGAGGCCATTGAATCTGTTATCAGCCTGAAAACCTTTTTACTCATCCTCGTTTCCATGCCGACCATCTTACCTGAAGCATATATTCTAGTAATCCCTAAATCTGCTGCCATTCTCCTCACATACAGCTTCTTCAACAGAATTTCCATAGAGTAAGGCTCCTTTCCATGCTGGCAGCGCAGGTTTTCCGTAAACTGAATCAAACTCCATATGTCTTTTTCAGCAGCTTTCTCAGCTTCATCAATTATTTCCAAGGGATTCTCCAAATAATTTATGTACTCAGAAGGGAGATGAGGGTTTATATTCATATCAAGCTGGTATAACAAAATGACAAGAAAGAATTAACAGAATGCTTGATCTGCACTTCACGTTAAGATAATCCAAATGATTGATTATTCTTTAGAACTTTCAAAATTTTCAAAAATAGAATACTGTAACAAAATTAATGAGAAAAACAACCATTAAATTCAGGTTATTGGCAAGAGTATTCTAAAAATGAATTTTCTATTGTGGAAGAGACATTACAGAGTAAAAACTAGAATCCAAGAAACTGAATCAGTACTACATTCTGGATGATTGCACAAACCAAATCAAAGGATCATCGACACATGTTTAAATTTCTAAATTGTCACTGCAGAAAGTGTGAATCATGCATTAAAAGACTAATAGACTTTTTTGGACATCATGATATTTAAGCAGCACATTTCTAGGTTCTGCTTTCTCCCTTTCTGACTCCAACTCAAAACCAAGGTCATAAAACCAAACAGTCATCCAGCAAATGACCATAAGTCACAGGATTTGCATAGGATGGTCTGCACACCAACACTAAGCCCCAGTTTGGTCCCCATTAATTTCCATTTCATTTTTCTCTCTCTTATTTTCAACCACACAATTTTCCATAAAATAATATTATACGTAAATCAAAAACTTTTCCTTCATTTTCAACCACTCATTTTTCAAAAAAATATCATTCCACTCATTTCCATTTCTACAAAATGGGGGTCAAACGGGGGCTAAATTTGCATTTCTAAGAATTTTCAAAAGAAGTTTGCCATCAAATCTGCTTATTTCTTTCCTCATTTTTTTTTTTATTTTTTTTTATTTTCAGTTGTGAAATTCATGTTTTAGTCAACTATTTCAGGACTTAGTGTACACAAGAACATGCTTCATCATGTCCAAATGCACAAAAGCCAAAAGCTAGTCACCCTACCTCTAACCAAATAGAATACCAGCAGGATTCTCAACTTCTTGAAATTCTATTAACACAACTTTGTAGACATCATCTCTTGTTTGCATGCATATATAAATCTTATGTAAGATGTACTATATTTTTTGTTCTCTCTCTGTCTAAGCACTTGCACATCTAGAACTGGTGACTTATGTTCCAAAAAAATTTCCAGTCCCCTTTGCACTTCAATCCTTGGACCGACCAATCACACTTTAATGAATTTTCAGAAGATTGAAAGGTTTTCCCCCCCATCAAATAGAGAATTGGTATCATTCCAATCTGAAGGATATATCACATATTTTCAACAGATCCACTAGCAAAATTTGATACTAGGATACTTAAAATTTAAGAGACTGAAACCAATCAAATCCAACAAAACTGAAGATTTTGGTCGCACACTACTTAGGCAAGTTAGTTGAAGACAAACAGAACAATTTCTTGAACGACATCTGTATTAGAGTAAGCAATACCTGCACTGACTGGTAAGGAACTGAAACTACACGATGTTCATCAACCTAGAAAACAATCAAAACAGTTTTTAAGGCTATTGATTAGAAATTAGAGCAATTTGGGAAGTTCGATAATCAAGGATAAATCACCACTATTTCCAAATAAATTAAAAAAGAGTCCAGAAAGAACTATTTCAATTCACAAAGCCAATAAGCTCCGAACTAACTAGTCATGCAACACAAAACAGTCTAGTTTTATCATTATGGAAAACAAGACCTAGATGAAATGAAGATCATGAAATTTACATACCTTTGACAATTCCCAATTTATATGTAATATTATTTTATTGAAAATTGTGTGGTTGAAAATAGGAGAGAGAAAAATTTAATTTAATTTGGTGAGATTTAATGGGGCCAAACGGGGGCTTAATAATAACTTATTTTTCTTTTTTCAATACGTATTTAATTTATTAACCATTTGAACAATATTATCATGAATTATGCCAACTATTTAGTCACCATCAATGCACATTTGACATATTCATTTCACTTGTATGCTTTCACCACATGAAACCCAATTACAAACTGTAATAAGTAGTACAAAATTCTTGTTCATGTATGAATTCTTGTTATTAATTCTCAATTCATTAGCATTCACATTCATTTAATTAATATTCATATTCATTTATGCATTTTTAGTGTTATTAATTCTAATTATAAGTTAATTAGAACTTCACATTCAAGAATGCATTTCATTATTCACGTCCATGCATGCTAATTAGCATACCGTTTTAGTTAATTGGAAATTAAATCATATTCATTTAGTATAAATAATTTAACATTCATTGTCATGTATATATTCCTTGATATTAATTCTAAATCAATTAACATTTACGTTAATTCATGTATCATATTTTCTTTAAACATTTGCACAATATTTCATGAATTATTTTGCAAATTATTTAGTTATCATCAATGTACATTTGTCAGATTTATTTCACTTGTGTGCTTTCACCACATGAAACACAATTACAAAATGTAATAAATACTATAAAATCCTTGTTCATGCATGTATTACCTCTTATTAACTCGCTGTTAATTAACATTCACATTCATTTAATTAATATTCTTCTTCAAATATTACTTTTAGAGCAATGCAGGTTTAACTCTGACTAGTATAAGTTAAAAATACCAAAATTATGAAAATTAACAACTTATACAATCTGATTTCTGCTCTTGTGCAGGACTTAAGTATCAACTAATTCGTCAAGTGATGCATAATTACATGAGAAATCAAAAGGACAATTTGAAGTGTCCTGAATATATGGCAACAATACCTAAAGCACCCGTCTACCAGTTTTAACTTGTTGTGGCTTGCGATTGCCTCCTGACTCCAGTGCATAAGCATAGTTCATGAAGACTCAGAAATTTAATTATCTATTTATAACTTGGAAAACAAGAACTTCAGATTACCGACCTCATAAACCTTTTTTTCTGGAAATGTTCTTGGTTTATTGTTCAATAAGTCAACTGATTGGTGCAAGGTGGGGAAGTCTTAATACAGGAGAACATTTTCAACTAGACCTTTACTAAAGCATACACCTTTTTCCAACTATGGAATATAGTTTTGACACATCTAGTTCAAGGAACTAAAATGTTACCCTCAAATTTGGAACACAATAGATAATAGTACAAGTATTTGCATCTCTTACAAAGAAAGCAAATTGTACTATGCTTTAATTGTATTTGAAAGATGAACTGTCCGACATAAGGGGACTGCACTGTTTTCCATAATTTGAAGTTTCAAGTATTCAGTTTATATATAAATAGGCCAATATAAATGTAATATCAATAGAAAAGTTACCTTTCCATGAGCTATTGCTATTTCAACATGTGGAAATGATTGTTCCAGAAATTCCATGATCTCTTCAAGCCCTGTGCATGGCAATGAAATCTTTCCTTATAATCCAGTATATGAAAATTATTTATAATATGAGTTTCAATCATACATAGAAAGGTAAAAAAAGAAAATCAGGTTACCTTTAATACGAGGCAAAACATAAAAAACCTGGCCACCGCGGTCCAGCTCATAATTTATCGCTGATATCACTTTTTCTTTGGAATATGATGAAAGATGGGTTCTTATTGGTACCCTCTCTGGAGGGGGTGTTGATATTAGACTTCAAGTAAAAAAATAAAATGTGTAAGATTGAGGGAAGTACATTACAAAAAAAGTCAAGACAAACTGTTATCATCCAAAATAAAGTCCTAAAAAAGGCATGCATCAGAATTCAAAATCAATTTTGGATGCCAAATTGGACGAGACAGCGAGCCAGATTTATTCAATCAGAAAATATCCACCCATGTTTACCCACTCTCACAGTTACATGATTTATCCAGATAATACAATAGTTGAATGAAACATTGTCCGAATGACTGAACAGATCAAGGATTAAAATAGAAATCACCTGGCATCACGGAACCCAGTCAATGCTAAATAAAGGGTTCTTGGAATAGGTGTCGCTGAAAGTGTGAGGACGTCAACTGAAGTTTTGAATGATGCAATTTTTTCCTTTTGTTTTACGCCAAACCTCTGTAAAAAAGGGTATTGAACAAGTCAACACCATCCTAAGTTGTGTAGCATGTCAAAATTTTACCCTCTAACTTACCTAATACGCACCTTTGACTTCATTGTTCAGACAGTTGGCACTTAATATAGAATATATAAATGACGAAACACAATAAATTTAGTACAACTAATAATTTTGTATAAATTTCTGTGTGATATAAATGTCAGGATGAAGTAAGTTCATCAAAATAATATTGTATTACTAAAGAGGAAAACATAGAGGAGAAGAGTCAAAATTGTATTCTATGGTCACTTCAATGAACTTTCCTTCTAGAGCATTTGGTGATGCTTGAACTTGGGTACGGGTATCAAGTATGAGTACATATTTAAGTGTCGAATATTTTATTTTCTAAAATTTAGGATACAGAGACATCGCCAAAAACAACTCAAATTTTGAATACGGATACGTGGATACCTCTTTCAAGTTTCAATTTTTTTACTAAACCAAGATGTCATTTTGAATAGACCAAAATCAATTGTTCACAAAGAAGGAAATAAGTATTGAATATGGGGTTAAGATGAATAAAATATAATTTTGGGATTTAGTTTTCAATTATGGGAAGTTAATTACTAAATGTTATATAAAATAGAAAATAAGAGACTTGATTGCAATTAGGACTTAATAGAGCTCTGAATAATACTATATGGAACCCATTTTCATTTTGGGCCTACTAGGTGTACAGGTACTCACAAAGGGGGTGGGTTATTTTTTGGCCATTTTTTATTTGGGTGGCATCATAAACTATGAGTTTACTAGCAAGGTTTTGTGAACCTTGCTTCTGTACAAATGGAAAAATCCTTTTATTTTATACAAACAAAACTTTAGACTGTCGATAAAGAGAAGGAAAGAAGGAAAGCAAAGAAGGAAAGGGAAAGAATAAAGAAAGAAGAAGAAGGGAAAACTTAGCGCCGTTATCTTTCTCCACCCTTTCGGAGTCGGCGCTAAGTTTATAGAAAGCAAAAATGAATATGTCTGGGCACGGTTTGGTTTGAGTTGGTTTCAACTCAAACCCGAAACCAAAACCAAATTAATCGGTTTGGACAAATTTCAATCCAAACCAACCTACTCTAACTCTTAAACCGAACCGAACCAAATCGATTCGGTTCGGTTCGGTTCGGTTGGTGGGTTTGGATTTTTAGTGCAAATTGAATTTTTTTATTTTATTTTATTTTTTTTTTAAATTGTCCAAGTTTTGGCCTAATTAGATTACAAGATTTAAAATAACTAAATAATTTTATATTATAAGAATGAGACTTGATTGCAATTAGGACTTAATAGAGCTCTGAATAATACTATATGGAACCCATTTTCATTTTGGGCCTACTAGGTGTACACGTACTCACAAAGGGGGTGGGTTATTTTTTGGCCATTTTTTATTTGGGTGGCATCATAAACTATGAGTTTACTAGCAAGGTTTTGTGAACCTTGCTTCTGTACAAATGGAAAAATCCTTTTATTTTATACAAACAAAACCTTAGACTGTCGATAAAGAGAAGGAAAGAAGGAAAGCAAAGAAGGAAAGGGAAAGAATAAAGAAAGAAGAAGAAGGGAAAACTTAGCGCCGTTATCTTTCTCCACCCTTTCGGAGTCGGCGCTAAGTTTATAGAAAGCAAAAATGAATATGTCTGGGCACGGTTTGGTTTGAGTTGGTTTCAACTCAAACCCGAAACCAAAACCAAATTAATCGGTTTGGACAAATTTCAATCCAAACCAACCTACTCTAACTCTTAAACCGAACCGAACCAAATCGATTCGGTTCGGTTCGGTTCGGTTGGTGGGTTTGGATTTTTAGTGCAAATTGAATTTTTTTATTTTATTTTATTTTTTTTTTAAATTGTCCAAGTTTTGGCCTAATTAGATTACAAGATTTAAAATAACTAAATAATTTTATATTATAAGAATTATTGACTAACAAATAAAATTAGCTATGATGCTCGGACTCGGGTGCGAGTGTCGGATACAAATACATATTTAGGAGTCGGATTCTTCTCATTTTAAAAATTAAGATATAGGGATACGATCAAAAAAGATCCGAATTTTGGATACAGGTATGGGGATACGTCTTATAATTTTTTTCCTAAAAAAATGATTCAATTAAAGCAAACAACAAATCATGCCATTTACAATAAATAATAAAACCTTTAAAGATAACTCCTAATTTATGGCAGTATGAATTATTGACTTTTAAACCACTTAATTCTTTCATTTCTTTCTTCTTCTTTTTCTTTTTTTATTGAAAAAATACACTTACTGAAGGGTAGCCCAACGAGTTATGGAAATTCCCTCATATCATTAACTTCTTCATTGGGCTCCACCCTTTCTGCAAAATTTTGCAAATGTTGCTGCAATCTTCCATAAATTTCTACATATTTCTATCAAAAGACTCGAAACAAATGGTTGTTGCTGCTACAAGTGCAAGCCAGAAGCAATACTTCACCGTCCATTGTTTTCTCCCTTTTCCAACCATGTCCGAGTTCAAAACTGAGAATCCGACACATATCCCGTGTCGATATCCATGTCATGTCGTGTCAACACGGGTACTTCGCCATTTTTTAAGAGTCCGAGCATCATTGGTTAATAGAGAGATCAAGAAAAAACTTAAGAATTTTGTCGCCTATTTATACATTATGTACCTTAACTGTCTGAGTAGGAAAAAAGGCTAAGTATAACATAATAAGCTTGTGAAAGAAAATCTTCAGTACTATCACTTACCGACATCATCATAGATTGAAAGGAATCATGATATAGTTATGAAATCCTATCCTTTGATTTTTGTTTTTCCTAAAAAATAGGTAAACATGTAAGTGGATTGGATTTGTTTGGTTAACCAGCTATTTGAGACTTCAAACCATGACCAAACAAAACCACCATGGTCTTATGTAAACGAAAAAAAATCAAACCAATTATCCATATCAACCCAACCCAAATCGACCTGAGTCAGTTCTGTTTGATTGGTTTGATCGGTTTTTCGATTTTTTTACCCAGACCTAGAAATGAGAAAGAAAAGGAAAAGAGAAAATGAAGAAAGAAGAAGAAGAAAAAAGAAGCAAAAATTGCAAAGTGTCCAGTTGAAATTTGGAGGATCCGACACATAACTCATACCCATATTATGTCGTATCCAACACGAATACTTCTATCATTTCAAAGAGTCTGAGCAGGAGATTTTGGTAGTGCCCATAGTAACAAAAGAGTGAACACGTCTTATTAGGCATGTCACATCACTTGACCTGGAGATGAGAAATAACCAAAAGTCTATTCCATGAGGACCTAGACAAGATTACAGTGGTTTTCAATTTTTTGATTAACTAGGATTTTTTATTTTAATAGTTGTTATTTATTAGAAGTTCCCTAACTTAAATCTCATTCGTATAAAAGGGGATTAAAGTTTTTCAAATATTCCTGAATATTGAATATAAAAGATTTTCCTCCTTCATCGCCTTTCAATGCATTATAATGCCCAAACGACTAAATATACACTAGAAGATAGGAAGAGGGAAAACCTGTTCCTCATCGACAACAAGAAGGCCGAGATTGTTGTATACAACACGACTGCCAAGTAATGAATGAGTTCCAACAATGATGCTCAAGTGGCCACGTTTAATCATGTGTAGATACTCATCTTTCTCTGACTTGGTCTTCACAATACAATAGGTTAGTTCCCGCTCAAAAGTGGAACTTCAAATAGTTTTATGAATGCTTTCATAAAGAGAAATAAAGTAACAACATACCGCTTTTCCAAGGTGTTATTTTACCACCTCTAGAAGAGTGGGATGTTTATACTTTACAGTTTACACAACAATACAAGTAATCACAGAAAAAGGTCTAAATGGTCAAGGAAATTTATGTCTCTTACCTTATGGAGGGAGGCGAAAAATTTTCATTAAGGACATCAAAACACACAAGGCATTTTCTTGATGATTTAATACATTTTCACGAGGTTAGAAGCAGTAAAAAGATGCCAAAAGTAACATGTAGATCCAAATGTCCTCATTTTCTATTGTGGAAGAGACATTACAGAGTAAAAACTAGAATCCAAGAAACTGAATCAGTACTACATTCTGGATGATTGCACAAACCAAATCAAAGGATCATCGACACATGTTTAAATTTCTAAATTGTCACTGCAGAAAGTGTGAATCATGCATTAAAAGACTAATAGACTTTTTTGGACATCATGATATTTAAGCAGCACATTTCTAGGTTCTGCTTTCTCCCTTTCTGACTCCAACTCAAAACCAAGGTCATAAAACCAAACAGTCATCCAGCAAATGACCATAAGTCACAGGATTTGCATAGGATGGTCTGCACACCAACACTAAGCCCCCGTTTGGTCCCCATTAATTTCCATTTCATTTTTCTCTCTCTTATTTTCAACCACACAATTTTTCATAAAATAATATTATACGTAAATCAAAAACTTTTCCTTCATTTTCAACCACTCATTTTTCAAAAAGATATCATTCCACTCATTTCCATTTCTACAAAATGGGGGTCAAACGGGGGCTAAATTTGCATTTCTAAGAATTTTCAAAAGAAGTTTGCCATCAAATCTGCTTATTTCTTTCCTCATTTTTTTTTTTATTTTTTTTTATTTTCAGTTGTGAAATTCATGTTTTAGTCAACTATTTCAGGACTTAGTGTACACAAGAACATGCTTCATCATGTCCAAATGCACAAAAGCCAAAAGCTAGTCACCCTACCTCTAACCAAATAGAATACCAGCAGGATTCTCAACTTCTTGAAATTCTATTAACACAACTTTGTAGACATCATCTCTTGTTTGCATGCATATATAAATCTTATGTAAGATATACTATATTTTTTGTTCTCTCTCTGTCTAAGCACTTGCACATCTAGAACCGGTGACTTATGTTCGAAAAAAATTTCCAGTCCCCTTTGCACTTCAATCCTTGGACCGACCAATCACACTTTAATGAATTTTCAGAAGATTGAAAGGTTTTCCCCCCCATCAAATAGAGAATTGGTATCATTCCAATCTGAAGGATATATCACATATTTTCAACAGATCCACTAGCAAAATTTGATACTAGGATACTTAAAATTTAAGAGACTGAAACCAATCAAATCCAACAAAACTGAAGATTTTGGTCGCACACTACTTAGGCAAGTTAGTTGAAGACAAACAGAACAATTTCTTGAACGACATCTGTATTAGAGTAAGCAATACCTGCACTGACTGGTAAGGAACTGAAACTACACGATGTTCATCAACCTAGAAAACAATCAAAACAGTTTTTAAGGCTATTGATTAGAAATTAGAGCAATTTGGGAAGTTCGATAATCAAGGATAAATCACCACTATTTCCAAATAAATTAAAAAAGAGTCCAGAAAGAACTATTTCAATTCACAAAGCCAATAAGCTCCGAACTAACTAGTCATGCAACACAAAACAGTCTAGTTTTATCATTATGGAAAACAAGACCAAGATGAAATGAAGATCATGAAATTTACATACCTTTGACAGGCTCTCAAAAAGCATTTCAAAGAAAAGATCAATGCCAACATTTCCAACATCCCCTGTTTGTTGCTCGCCAAAGATATTACCAAAGCCTCTAATGGCCATATCTCTTTCTGCAAGTTGAAAACCTTGTCCAAGATCACGACAATCTTCAAGAGCTGCAAGTCTCTCCTGGAAGTTCAAAGACATGAACATTATTTTTGACCCTATATAATGGATGAAATAATGATCTATTACATATAAGTAAATTTAGCAAATGTAAGTCATTGCTTTCAAGACAAATTGAATGCTATGTGCTAGTTATTATAAATCTAGTTAGCAAATAATTTCAAAAGCAACTACTACATTTATCTATCTCTGTGCTATATTGGTCCGAGTGAAAATGGAATAGAAAGGATGAACCTACTCGAGCCTGGTCAGAAAGAAGGGACTTATCCGGATAGAATAAGTGTGCATGAGCCTCCTTATCTGCCCGACCCACTCTTCCACGCAACTATAGACATACATACAAACAGATATATATGTCAAGAGATGCTAAATAATAAAAGTCTGGAGTTAGAAACCACGAATAACTTAACATATAATAAAAAACCACAGCTAATAAGATGTGGCTTAAACAAGTAAAAATCTATATAAGCATCAAAGACCAAATACTTCAATAGCTTGTTCCAGCCTATTTTTAGCATGTACAGTTATTAAAGAGTTAAAAGTGTAGTAGAATAAGCAATGAGGGAAATTTCAAGTCCAAATACCCAGCCATCTTTCACCACAAGGAAAAGGGCCATGACTAAAATTTTTTCTGAATAATTTCACAAAAATAAGAAGAAAGAATAATTGACAAAGTAAATTTGGTATGGTCCAGCATGGTAGACACCAATGAAGACAAAACACATCAATCATGTACAAAAACTAAAAAGAAGTGGTAAGCAAGTAAAGTATGATATCTCCCATTCCCCTTCAACAAAGAATTCAGAAATGGAGCAGATAGTATGCAGAACCTGATACAACTGTGCAAGGCCAAATTGCTGAACATCTTGAATTATGATGGTGTTTGCATTTTGGATATCAAGCCCGCTCTCAACTATGTTTGTGCATATCAAAATCTTAATATTCCCTTGTGCGAATTTTTCCATGGTTTCCTCAAGCTGCTTTGAGTATTGCTGCAAAGGATAAGTTGTCTTTCATTATCAACAAATTACGGTAACATCCTTCAGCTGGTGAGAAAACTGCCAAAGACATATAAATTCTGAACCAAATCTATAATCTATAAAACATCACATTAAACGAGAATCATTTTTTGGACGATTCTAGCTCTACTACAATTCAATTCTTTAGCTCCCGTTTGGCCCCTATTTTTTATTATAATGGGAAAAATAGTGTCTTTTTTTTTTTTTTTTTAAATGAATAGTTGTAAAAGGAATGAAAAGTTCCCAATTTATATGTAATATTATTTTATTGAAAATTGTGTGGTTGAAAATAGGAGAGAGAAAAATTTAATTTAATTTGGTGAGATTTAATGGGGCCAAACGGGGGCTTAATAATAACTTATTTTTCTTTTTTCAATACGTATTTAATTTATTAACCATTTGAACAATATTATCATGAATTATGCCAACTATTTAGTCACCATCAATGCACATTTGACATATTCATTTCACTTGTATGCTTTCACCACATGAAACCCAATTACAAACTGTAATAAGTAGTACAAAATTCTTGTTCATGTATGAATTCTTGTTATTAATTCTCAATTCATTAGCATTCACATTCATTTAATTAATATTCATATTCATTTATGCATTTTTAGTGTTATTAATTCTAATTATAAGTTAATTAGAACTTCACATTCAAGAATGCATTTCATTATTCACGTCCATGCATGCTAATTAGCATACCGTTTTAGTTAATTGGAAATTAAATCATATTCATTTAGTATAAATAATTTAACATTCATTGTCATGTATATATTCCTTGATATTAATTCTAAATCAATTAACATTTACGTTAATTCATGTATCATATTTTCTTTAAACATTTGCACAATATTTCATGAATTATTTTGCAAATTATTTAGTTATCATCAATGTACATTTGTCAGATTTATTTCACTTGTGTGCTTTCACCACATGAAACACAATTACAAAATGTAATAAATACTATAAAATCCTTGTTCATGCATGTATTACCTCTTATTAACTCGCTGTTAATTAACATTCACATTCATTTAATTAATATTCTTCTTCAAATATTACTTTTAGAGCAATGCAGGTTTAACTCTGACTAGTATAAGTTAAAAATACCAAAATTATGAAAATTAACAACTTATACAATCTGATTTCTGCTCTTGTGCAGGACTTAAGTATCAACTAATTCGTCAAGTGATGCATAATTACATGAGAAATCAAAAGGACAATTTGAAGTGTCCTGAATATATGGCAACAATACCTAAAGCACCCGTCTACCAGTTTTAACTTGTTGTGGCTTGCGATTGCCTCCTGACTCCAGTGCATAAGCATAGTTCATGAAGACTCAGAAATTTAATTATCTATTTATAACTTGGAAAACAAGAACTTCAGATTACCGACCTCATAAACCTTTTTTTCTGGAAATGTTCTTGGTTTATTGTTCAATAAGTCAACTGATTGGTGCAAGGTGGGGAAGTCTTAATACAGGAGAACATTTTCAACTAGACCTTTACTAAAGCATACACCTTTTTCCAACTATGGAATATAGTTTTGACACATCTAGTTCAAGGAACTAAAATGTTACCCTCAAATTTGGAACACAATAGATAATAGTACAAGTATTTGCATCTCTTACAAAGAAAGCAAATTGTACTATGCTTTAATTGTATTTGAAAGATGAACTGTCCGACATAAGGGGACTGCACTGTTTTCCATAATTTGAAGTTTCAAGTATTCAGTTTATATATAAATAGGCCAATATAAATGTAATATCAATAGAAAAGTTACCTTTCCATGAGCTATTGCTATTTCAACATGTGGAAATGATTGTTCCAGAAATTCCATGATCTCTTCAAGCCCTGTGCATGGCAATGAAATCTTTCCTTATAATCCAGTATATGAAAATTATTTATAATATGAGTTTCAATCATACATAGAAAGGTAAAAAAAGAAAATCAGGTTACCTTTAATACGAGGCAAAACATAAAAAACCTGGCCACCGCGGTCCAGCTCATAATTTATCGCTGATATCACTTTTTCTTTGGAATATGATGAAAGATGGGTTCTTATTGGTACCCTCTCTGGAGGGGGTGTTGATATTAGACTTCAAGTAAAAAAATAAAATGTGTAAGATTGAGGGAAGTACATTACAAAAAAAGTCAAGACAAACTGTTATCATCCAAAATAAAGTCCTAAAAAAGGCATGCATCAGAATTCAAAATCAATTTTGGATGCCAAATTGGACGAGACAGCGAGCCAGATTTATTCAATCAGAAAATATCCACCCATGTTTACCCACTCTCACAGTTACATGATTTA